CAGGATCACATGGAACGGTTCTGGTCCAACTCCATCTTTAAATACCTCCGCGTAGAACCCGAAGATCACTTCTTCCTCCTCACCGAACCGGTATGATACGGGATACCTCTTTACAAGCCGCGGAAGAGTCCAAGCTGACTTTGTCGTAGCCCCTGAACCCCCCCGAGAATCGCGAGAACACGGCCGAAATCTTCTTCGAGTCCTTCAACTGCGCCGGTCTGTACATCGCCGTCCAGGCTGTGCTCGCCCTTGCCGCTTCATGGACCTCTTCCAAGGTCCACGACCGATCTTTGACCGGTACGGTCATTGACTCTGGTGATGGTGTTACCCACGTTATCCCTGTTGCTGAGGGATACGTCATCGGATCCTCCATCAAGTCGATCCCCATCGCAGGTCGCGACCTGACCTACTTCGTGCAGTCGCTGCTGCGTGATAGAGGCGAGCCGGACTCGTCGCTCAAGACGGCTCAGGAGATTAAGGAGCAGCACTGCTACGTCTGCCCCGATATTGTCAAGGAGTTCTCTCGCTACGACCGGGACCCCACCCGCTTCATCAAGCACCCGGTGCTTCACCCTGGCGGCCGTCAGGTCTCCGTCGACGTCGGATACGAGCGTTTCCTCGCCCCCGAGATCTTCTTCAACCCCGAAATTTACAGCTCCGACTTCCTCACGCCCCTCCCCACCGTGGTCGACAACGTCATTCAGGCTTCCCCTATCGATGTGCGTCGTGGTCTCTACAAGAACATTGTTCTTTCCGGCGGAAGCACCTTGTACAAGGACTTCGGTCGCCGCTTGCAGAGAGATATCAAGCAACTGGTCGATGCCCGCATCCGAGCCAGTGAGGTTCGCAGCGGTGGTGCTAAGTCTGGTGGCTTGGAAGTCCAGGTTATCACGCACAAGAGGCAGAGACATGGTCCCTGGTTCGGTGGTAGTTTGCTGGGACAGACGCCCGAGTTCCGTTCCTACTGCCACACCAAGGCTGAGGTAAGCATTTCATTCATCCTCGTTTTGAGCGCTGATGCTGACTTTCTTTATAGTATGAGGAGTATGGCCCGAGTATTGTTAGACGGTTTGCGTTGTTGGGCGGCCCTGGTGGTTCATAAATCTGGGGATTTGTGCTATAGAGACTGCGAGCCAATACTTATCTCCAAAAGGCTACCACCACCACTATTTACGAGAATCAAAATCATGACCACTTCCTGTCATGCCTTTCCTGCACGTGCGAACGAGGAACCGGTCGCGTTCCTTAGCTGGGATGGGTACCCAGAAAACTGCTGTATTGTGTCTTGTCATCTCATCTTGCTCTGTCCACTCGAGGTGCATTCGACGAGAGCAGACACCTGCCTAAAGTGTTTGGTCGACACAACTCACCACGCTATGTGCGGATCCATAGCCACGATTGTGCTTGATGTAGAGCACGGAGTCAGCATAGTCACTGCACGATGATCCTTCAGGGTAAGAATCATGACCAGTCGCTAGACGAGATGGGCTGCGCCCATTCCCTCCTGTATCTCAAAATTATAACAGTTTGAGTTCATGCACTTCTAGTCAGCTGGGAAGACTCTAGAGTATTGCCCTGCTAACATGCGTGCCAAGACTGATGTTCGTGAGCATTTGCGGCTTGAACTCTGGCGACTATTAACATTTGGCCATCTTATAGCCAGTCTGCAAAAAGTCAAGAGTTTCTCACAAGTGTCACAAGCTCAAAGAAAACTGCAGAGTGTTTTCCAGATTTGTTCATTACTCGTTTCCAATAGAACGAGAAAGATATATATCATACACGCTGAACTCCCTCCCAGGTTAGGTATCCTAAGCAAAAGCCCCTTTGAAAAAAAAGACGTCAGATTCATCCACTCGCCCGCCGTGAAACACAACCACTGCCGCCGCCACCCAACCGCCGCCGTTAAGGCCCCAACCTTTTTGGTCTCTCAAGAGTTCACATTACGCCCCCACAACTTTTTGTTTCGAGATCTTGCCTCGTTCGTCTTATTTGCTGGTGTCGACGACGTAGCGGCCGGCAATCTGGCCCTTCTTCATCATGTCAAAGACCTCGTTCAGCTGGCTCAGGCCGACGGTCTTGAACGGTGCGTTGATGAGGCCGCGGCGGAAGAACTCGAGGGCCTCGGCGGTGTCCTTGCGGTTACCGACGTAGCTGCCCTTGATGTTGATCATGCGGATGACGGTGTCGAAGACGGGGGCGCGGAGGTAGGCGTTGGCGGGCAGGCCGATGCAGACGACGGTGCCGCGGGAGCGGACGTACTGGGTGGCCTGCTGGAAGGGCTTCTCGCTGACGGCGAGGAGGATGACGGCGTGGGGGCCGAGACCCTCGGGGGTGGCCTTCTTGACGTCCGCGACGAGGTCGGACGAGGTGGTGAAGTCGACGTACTCGGTGGCACCGAGCTTCTTGCACATCTCGCCCTTCTCGGCGCCGCCATCAATGGCGACGGTGTGGATGCCCATGGCTTTGGCGTACTGCAGAGCCAGGGAGCCGAGACCGCCACCGGCACCGACAATGGCGACCCACTGGCCGGCACGGACGCCGGACTCCTTGAGACCCTTGTAGACGGTGATACCGGCGCAGAGGACAGGGGACACGGCCTCGAGGCTGACGTCCTTAGGAATGCGGGCAACGTGGGCGGCCTTTGCAATGGCGTATTGCTGGAAGCTGCCATCGACGGTGTAACCGGAGAGCAGGGCGTGGGGGCAGAGGGGCTCGTCGGCGTCCTGGCAGAAGGTGCAGGCGAGGCAGGAGCCGTTGAGCCACTTGATACCGGCGTAGTCGCCAATCTCGACGTCCTTGACGAGTTCGCCGCGGGCGACGACGACACCGGCGCCCTCGTGGCCACCGACAAGGGGCATCTTGGTGTCGAGGGGCCAGTCGCCCATCATGGCGTGAAGATCGGTGTGGCAGACACCGGAGTACTTGACGTTGATCAAGACCTCATCAGAGGCGGGCTTCTGAACGGGAATCTTCTTGTAGACGGCGGCTAAGATATCATGTTAGCGATAATATGAACGAGGTATGAGGGATGCTGTGGTTACATACGGCCTCCAGTCTTCTCGATAACCTGAGCCCATTGCTCGGTGGGGATCTCGGGAGCGGCCATTATGATGGTTTGTGTTGGTGATGTGTGTGTATGAAGATGTCTCTGAAGTACAGATGAAATCTGGGATCTTCCTATGAAGTAGAAGAAGATATTGGAATGTAAGATGGAAGGCTGTTGAGCTTGGATCGCTTGATCTGATCAGACGGCAAACCAGAGCATGGCGACACTGGTCTTATATAGAGATGAGAGCAACATCTTGGGCATGGCCAGGAACGGTGGTATAAGTGAGAAGTGGGGGTGGTGGTGAGGGTGGCAGTGGTCTGCTCTCCAACAGCTGGGGGAAGCTCGGTACGGCACCGGACGGTTCGTGTCAGGGATGGACGTTCTGGGCGAGATACTTTGGTACATCCGTCATGTCAACTGAAGCATGGCATAGTGAAGCAGTACCGGAGAGAAGGATAAAGTGGGTTGAGACTTCCAAGCCGAGAGGAGGCAAAGCAGGAAGGACTGGGAAGAGACGGCTCGGACGAGTGAGGTGAGGTGTGGTATCAGGGCCGACTGGGCATCCACTGGACAAGGCTAGAGCAAAAAACGTATGATGTTGACGACAGGCCAGGAACCGCAGTCTAAGGAGCTTTACCCCTCACAGTGGCAGAAGGAGTTCGAGACACGCCATAGAAAACTGACAAAGTACACACCCAGTTGACACCCCCAACTCTGTGCAAAATATGTGAGGAAAGCCAAGGACACGGCCGGGTCCCAGGTGGGCCGGATCATCGCCCATCAAGCACAGCTCTGAGAGGTTGTTGGAGAACCTAGGAGAAAGGGAAGAGTGGTGGTTGGTTTCTCTGCCCGGAGACTGCCATGTACTGTGCAGTACACCTGGGTACGTACTCGTACACGCGCGGGTTGGGGCTCCCGCCGGGTTCCATTACACGGCGGCGCTTCCTGCACGTCTCGAGTCGTTCTCTGCCTGCACTTGCAGGCTCGAGGCTCGCAGGAACGGGCTGCCCGCGGTTTCGCTCCACCGGGTTGGGGGAGAAAGTTGTAGTGCTGCTACTGCTACCTTGGAAAAGAAGGCTAGGTACAAAGGGAACCTTCACGCAGTATTACCCCGCGCGTTGTTAGGGCAAGCGGGAGCGTAAGAGCATGGCGGTGTCGGACCGTGATTGGCCTCAGAAGCAGCTTTCCCCAGTGCAGAGGTACCACGAAGAGGCACTCGAGGCATGTTTTGGGATACATCGTCGATGCAACGGCTGCTGTCGACCGAAGGCGCGGATAGCGGACGACGGGCTGGATAGGCCATAAGGCGCCCCCTGGCACTTCGAGACCCTACACACGCACCACTATACACAGTAAGGCGCAGACGTGGTGTGTGATATGTGAGCTAGGATCAAGGGCGTTGGTGCGTTAGGACGGCAGGCATGGGCAGATGGAAGTTTTGGTACGTTCTCGACTCTGAGTCTCGAGGCTTCCTTCGATTGAACTTCTCATCCATGGCATGGATAGGGGGAATGATTGACGAAGGAACCGACAACTCCACCTGACAGGTGCGGATTGACGTCGGAGCACAGCGCAACCCATAGTGAACGACGTCGAGGCGAGTGGGGAGTGGGCTTCGTCTGCAGGTCTGACTGTGAGCAGTGGGAAGGGTGGAACCACGGCCGTGTTGAGAGTTCCCTCTTCTTCCTGTTCTTGGAAGTTGAAGCATCTTTGTTTGGTTGACGGCCGTCGCCGACAGGTTGGATTGGGTTTCGTTGGCAGGTCTGTACAGTAAACTGCGTGTGTCTGCCAGCTTCGGTCCAGTATTACACACCATCAAATGCTACCTATGCCAACTTGCTTTCCTGCATGTTCTTTGCGTCTGGATTGGATCGGCGGACCTGATCTGATCTGATAGATACGAGACCGAAAGTGACGGCGAACATGCAGGCGAGGCAGCCCGAGTGGGATTCTAGCAGTATCCATCTTGAATCCATTGTGACTTGTTCCGAATTGACGCAGTTGCGAGACAGGGCCGATGGATTGCATGTTGTGGTGTTGCTGAAGAGATTTTGAGCTGTAGGGCCGAAGAACTACCAGAAAAGCACCAGATTCTAAGCTGAAGATGGAGAATCACGAGATGGGACGAATAAGATGCGGCCAAAGCCATGGCAGGCCCGCGCCACAGGAGTGGGATAACAGCACCACGCAGAGCCCATTCCCCATTTCGGGAGCTGCCGGATCCATGTCCAGATCCTCGTCTTTTTGGTGAGCCTCCTTTTTTTATTCTGGGATATTCTTTTTAATCCCTCTCTGCCCGTTTCCACCTGAAAGAAACTCCCGCAATGAACAAATGTTGCTCGGAGCCATTGGGAAAGAACAACAGAAGGTTCGTCATATCATGACACCACTCGCTTGTCCAGAAAGCAGGAAACGCGGATAGTCGGGATGCGCACCTTCTTCCCCACCCTACAAAGTACTTCCCATGCCTTAGTCATACTATGAGTACACTGAGAATGCGCCGTACAATCTTCATTCGACATTGGCATTTGGGTCATTTGGTGGTGGTGGTGATCAAGCAGTGGAAGCTCTGGTGGAGATCGACTACCTTACAGGGTCCATACACCCTTCCGCTGACGCCTGTCGCTGCGATCTCTCGGCATCTGAACGGCCTTACTGGGACAGAAGCACCCAACGCCGGGCATCGTTCGCTCCTTCTTCTACACACCACCTCATGCCGCACACCACCAAACCCGCCGAAAACAGTCCAGCTGCCTTGACCGTTCCAGGGGTCTAATTCCCGCCCGTCGACGGTTCCGTCACTGTTCATCATCATCATCATCAACAACAACACCATCTCACTGTACAATTCACATGCTCCGTGTCAACTTCTGGTCCACGACATCGAATCCAAAGCCAAACCCTCTCCATACAGAGCTCCAGAAGATGCGTGTAATGCCCCCATAGGTTTCAGCAAACTCGACCATACTTGGCCGGACAAGTGCCAAGCAAGCAATCATGAGCCGCGTAAAAGGTAGCTAACTCGAGACGAGCCTCCCTAGGTTCTCGTGGACATTGCCTACTGCGTGCCATGTTTGGAAAGGCGCAGCAGCCGCACGAGTCTTAGTCCGAAGTCGCAGGGAGGTGGCTGCGAATAGCTTCAGAGTCCTCATCTCCGTTCGCCCAGAGCGGGACCTGCGGATCATGCAGCTCGCAACCCCTACTCAACAACACCACGCCCCGTCCGACACACGATACGGCCACACAACACACATAATCCCTGGATCAGAGCGAGGTAGGAAAACAACAAAGCATACGCTGCCTCAACACTTGGACTTACTGCTAATACCCTAGCTGATAGGAATTTGTCCCCCCACAATCCCCCGCCCTTTGGTGCCACTTATTCACGCCTCACGCTGCAACTTCGGCTGCAAGCTCGTTGCTCATGCTGTATTCCCCCAAATTTCCGCAGCACGCTGCCACCTGCCTGCGAAACCTCCACCGACATACTCCAATAATGAGGGCCAGCCTCCACACCTTCGCTCGAAGGGAGCTTTGCAAATCCAACCTCCTGACGCAGACAATGCCCACTGCGTCTGACAGAGTTGCCCACAAGCGTGGCGGCTACGGATGGGGCCCCGCGAATCTCAAACCCTCCCCCATCTATTCCCCGCATACCGCCTATGAATAGCTGAACCTCTCACTCAAACAGTTGATCCCATCCTGCCTCAACACGCTCAGAACCCCAACCAACCACCCTTCCTGCTTCTCCAGCTTTGCGGGGAAGCTCCTGCAGCTCGAAACCCTCGGTCAACTCCCTTACTTTGCCTGCCAACAACTTACACTGTGTGCGGCGCACTATGTCTCGAGACCCCAGTCAATGCTGACGCCCGGGTTCATCCCCGGATCCGGTAGTGCGGCGGCTTCAAGGACGAGCGGAGGGTTGTTCTCTGAGATTACCGGTACCCTGCGAGTTTCGGCCACCTCAGTCAGTCGGGGACGGAAACAGACGCCCAGTCTGCTCCGGAAGAGCGGAAGACACTGCCAGAGACATCTGGCCAACGTGGAGAGCCGTGAATCTGGGGCTGAGGAGACCCCGCGCAATCCCCATGGGCCTCTACGAACTACGCGGAGAAAAGTCACTTTCCTTGCCATCGAATCAGGCGCAGGTTCGGGGCTTCTGGCAGTAACCGATATCCCGAGCTGGGCAGTCATATGCCACCAAAATTTCTCGGTCCTGTCGAGAAGCTTTTATCAACGAAATATCCGCTTCTGGCTTTGTATTAAGTTCGACAGCCAGCACTAGATTTCGAGGAACGAGGTTGGGGCAACGGAGCTCAACGCGCATCAGCCTGCCTCTCCTCTACGAAAGCGGAGCACTTTATGTCTTCCTCTCATATTGCAGGTGGCAGCGGCATCGTTCAGTCGCTGCTCTGGAGTAGGCTTCCTCGAATGCCAGCATACGACTGAGCGAGATGATCATCACGAGAATTCATCGCCAGATCCAAGAAGTGATTACGAATGTCGAGACTGGACCTGGGCTGGATTGTTACCTGCAAGCTTACAGGGGCCATTCAAAGTGGTGGCCATCAATTTCTTGCTATTCTTCCGACATTTTTACAAATTGCTTCATCTCAAGTGAAAAGGCATGCCGTTTACAAGATGAACGCTCCAAAGGCTGTGCACTGTCCGATCTAAGACTGAAAAAGGGTTTCAAGATGGAGTGAGGACGATCATAATCCCATTGGTTATGGCAGGGCGACATCGTTTCCTTTTCGAGCCGATCGTGATACGACGGTTGCACGATACCTTGACCTGAAGTTTTGACAGCTGCGACAACGCTGAGAGTCTAACCAGAGGGGGAGAAACGGTCTGGCGTATTAGTCTACGCTGTGACCTGTCCAAGTTTGACACGAGGCAGCCCAAGCTGAAGTTTCTGCTTCGATAACCGCTCTCATCTGGTACTGATGTCAAAGCTGTCACGCACGCCACGCGGGTTGTCGAAATACACAAGTTCAAGGGTGCCATTCAGCACATCACACAACTTGGCATGAGGAGAATTTCGCCGACTGGCTTCCTGAAGGTGATGAACCTGGATCTGATCTCCCGCCATTGTGGAGCCGATCAGGGCTTGCGTGGGGAGCGGACCGACAGAACTAGCCATTCATAGATTCAGACTCAGACCCAGAAAATCATCCAATAACTGAGTAGGATCGATAGCTCAGTGGTAGAGCGAGAGATTGCAGTGACACGCAGTTTATCTCTAGGCCCCGCGTTCGAATCGCGGTCGGTCCTGTTCCTTTTGTTTTTGCGAATACCTGCCCCCAGATCCTCGAGATTAAGCATTGGAAGGCTTCCTCCAAAGCCCTGGTCCTATTTTGCCATCCTGAATTGTTTTTGGGCTTGCATGCCAAACAAGCATCCGGACGTGATGTGACACCGTCCTGTCCTCGCATCGGAAGCCGTTTAGACTCAACGGAGACATTGGCCAGTGTCATGCGGGGGCTTGGCCGAGTCCCCCCGCCTTTACAGCTCACCTTCTGCGTTGTAAGTGTCGGAACGTACGGGCAGCCCAGACGATTGACGCTGGTTTAGTGACATTGAGACAAGTGCAGTTGCATGGCAGATCCTGGGATGGTCCGTGTAAGACGCTCGATCACGATGCATGAGCTAGGTCTTCTAGCCAATCGTCTTCTCACCTGAAGATGATGACCACCAAGTCCAAACGAAACAAGTGAAGGCATACCCCAAGTGGAGGGTCGAACCTAACCGCGGCCTGAGCAAGCACACTTACATGTGCCGCTCGGTGAGGATTGAAACAACTCAGTTAAGACGATGCTGCTCCTACCTCCTGCCCAGCCCCTTGGTGCTAAACATTGGTTGTCCCTAGTTGCAGAAATTCTACAGTCTTGAATTTGCAATTCGATCTCTCAAACCTTTCTTCTCCTCAAAACCCCCTCTTCACCTGTCCCGGAGACACCTGTCATTACAGGAACCCTCACTTAGTGTAATTGCTGGGAGATTCAACTCGCACTTCCATCAAGATGGGTTTACTCGAGAGCTTGACGGCGGCTAACCCGCTCTACATCGGAGGCTCCATCTTTGGAGCCTACCTTCTCCTTCTGGTGTTCTTCAGGGTTAGAATGGAGTATCTCCTCAGCAAGTCTGGTGGTGTGAGAGCTCCAGTTATTGCTTCCAACCCCTTTACAGGTAACAACGAGAAGGGTCCTCTCCCCGCACCAAAGATCGGGCGGCTAATTAGTGCGAAGCCATTCCGGTATTCTTGCGGATTGGACGCTATCAACTTAGGCACCAGCTCCTCGAGGGATTCAACACTCTTTTCAGCGTCGCTACCCCTGAGTCTCCGAACACAGTCGAGATTGGCTTCACGGGCAAGCTCCGCTTCCTCATCACCAGAGAGCCGGAGCACATCAAGACTGTCCTCACCTCCAAGTTTGCCGACTTTGGAAAGGGGCCTATGTTTCATCAAGTCTGGTCTCCGTTCCTGGGCGACAGCATCTTCACTACGGATGGAAAGACGTGGCAGGATAACCGGAGCTTGATCCGGCCTATGTTCATCAAGGATCGAGTTAGCGACTTACACATCTTTGACAAATGGACCAACATCATGATGGACAAGTTCCCGGCGTCAGGAGTCACCTTTGATATCTCGGATCTATTCTACCGTATGACGCTTGATGTGACGACCGATTTCCTGCTTGGACATGGTGTTAACAGTCTTGGCAAGTGAGTAGACCACTCATACCTACAATTGGCCCTGACGCGATGCTAATCTACCTGACAGCCCGAAGCATCACTTTGCACACGCATTCAACGAGGTCCAGAGTTATCAAATGTTTTATACAATCATGGCGTATGTGTCCTTGACGAAAGTGAACAGAATCAGCCGAGCTGACCCAGTGCCAGACCCTTTGAGAACATCTTGCCCCACGGAACTTACAAGCGCGGCATCAAGGTTATTGAGGAGTTTATCCACCCTTTCATCCAAGAGGCTCTGGCCTTGCCGCCATCAGAGCTCGAGAAGCTCTCCAAGTCTGACAAGGATTTCACCTTCCTTCACAACATTGCTCGTTTCACGCGCGACCCCAAGGTCATCCGCGACCAGCTCGTTGCTATCCTCCTCGCTGGTCGTGATACCACTGCTGCAAC